AATATGTTGTTGAAACCATGCAATACAGGGTGTATCACAATACCTGCAAACACTATATAATTTGCATAATTCTACTGCTTACTAGCATTTCAATGTACAGCACGGTGAAAAAACTGACACCTTTGTTATTCAAATTAGCCGCAAAGGTATCAGGTTTTTTTACTCACCTTGTATGTGCTATTTATTTTGCTCCTGTATGAGATTTGAACAGCCCATCTAACTTAATTAACTGCGTTGATAGAAATTACTACTTACGTATACGCTTGGGATCAAATAGTTCTGAATCCTGCAAATTCTAAAAACATTGTATTTCAATGGGTTAGTTAGCAGGTTTTTTTATACATCCTATATATATCAATATAATATACCTTCTCTTATACACTGCTTTAATTAGGCGCAGCGGTGAGAATATATGAGATTTCGACAAACAATTTTTATCGGACTCATAATTATTTGCTCAATTGTTCTCTACATTGTGCATCAAAAAAGATAATCCAACTTCAGCGCGCTATTGCACCTGCGTATGAACGAGATTCGTATTCGGAACGCCCATGCAAATGCACGCAATTTACGAATATGACAGCCTACCTATGTAGGCATATTAACTCTTCAATACATGCATGTAAAGTGGTGTTTCCTCATGTATAACACTTACTGAAACCCACTATAACCAGGGCATTTTTTAACTATATAAACTCTTTTGTCAGATAGTTGTCCCATCTTTTGCTGTCAGGTTATGAAGATGTCCCATCTTTTCTTAACCAGTGGAAGCTTAAAAGGTGTCTTATATTATTCTTTACCCCACAAGACAGGCGCGGGCGTAAATTCCGTAAAATAGTTAAGACAATGGTGTCAATGCAGCTATTGTTTTTGGAGTAATATGTAGATATATCTTGGTGATTATGGTGAAAACTTTTGTGCCAGATTTATGTGCGCACTATGGCCTAGGGAAAGGCGGTATACGTGTATAAGCCACTGAAGCCGCCGCACTTTTTATACTGCCCGGATCTATAACGACTGCAAATAAGTTTCGACGTTTCGATATGAAATTATCATGCCATACTTTGAACATAAACAAAATCTAGGTTGAATGTTATTCACGCTATTCTCTAACAGAAATTATTCACGCTATGCATAACAGAAAATTAACTTATTACTTGCTTGGTTTCACACAGCGTTTAAGCAACTGAACCTGGATTGATGACATCTTATAGCGGCAATTAATAATGCGATTAGGTTGCTCACTTCCTGAAGTTGCAAACTCAGTATGCAAATCCGACATAGTACAAAACATGGACTGGATCGGCATGAGTGTCCCTATATGTCGTGTGTCGTATGTCGTGGGTTTAAAGTCGTGTGTCGTGGGTAAAGTCGTGGGTAAAGTCGTGGGTAAAGTCGTGGGTCATAAAATGTGCTAAAAACGCATTTTTCATATTTTTATTTTAAATAATTTTTTCGTACTTTTTCCTTTTATGCGCTAGATAAATACAGGAAAATTTAACGCAGCACATCTCCAGTAATAAAACAATTTCTTAACCTTGCTGTTATCTATAGTATAACAAGTAAATGTTTCCGTTTCGTATAGTCTTATAATAAGTCTATAAATGTATTGTTTGATGATAAAATGTCCTAAGTTATAGGATATTAGGATATTAGGATATAGGTTTATTAGCTTTGGAATTGTTATAGTCCCTATCATGAACGTCGCGAATAACTATGTCGATTTGCATATGTCTGATACAAACATATTGAGCTATAAATTCTACGTGGCCAACGCTCGAGCCTCAAATTTTGCTATTTTATCTCCTAGACCTAGTATATGTTCGTGGCCCTTAAAAGTAGACAAACATTTCATGTGTATGTGGCGTTCGGAAATATTCCATAAATTGCTACGATTTGGGATTTCGCGATTGAAAACCGAAATGATTTGTGCGATGTCGCCATGTCGGGCTATTTGCCAACCGAGCGCGCTAGCCGCTGTTATTTTGACAGAACATGATACCTCTACAGCCTAGACCTAGGCCTTCTATTTTTATTTATATTTTTTTAAGATTCAGCGCTTTTTCACATGAAAAGACTGGGACCAGGTGATTTGGGGTCGGGGCGGAGGAAGGACACAAGCCTGACGCAAGCGGAAAAATAGAAGGCCTAGTGGATTTCCCAACAACAAGGCCAAAACTGCCCTGAAACTGCCCTGGTTGCGAAATGCTCAATTATTGCGTTCTCAAACAGAATTATTTGCAACTTAACAGCGAATTTAAACCGATACAGGTAAAATAAACTCATTTATAGTATAATCTTACTATTTTTATTTGTATACACGTCTAGAAAATCGGGGTTTTTATCATAAAGTTTGAAGCAACACTATTATTATGTTGACAAGGTGAAGCGAAAGCACAAAATAATTTTTATTCGCAAGACAATCTACTGTTTTGCTTTGAATAACTATATTTGCGAATTGGGAATGAGGATTTTGAAATTATTGTTCAAATATTTATACGGATATACCATTTGTAAACAATGTACGTTTTTATATACAGTACTGTACGGGCTAATAATATATGTATCCGTTTTATTTAATAAATTATAATTGTATATGTGTTTGTATATTTTACAAACACAAGACTGCTTCTTGCCAAAATTTATAAAATATATATTAATGTAGTTGTGTATAAGACAAAATTTCATGAAAGATTCTACTTTTGGTATATATTTTGACTCATTTTGTGCTTTCGCTACACCTTGTCAACATAATAATAGTGTTGCTTCAAACTTTATGATAAAAAACACGATTTTCTAGGCGTGTATACAAATAAAAGTAGTAAGTTTATACTATAAATGAGTTTATTTTACCTGTATCCGTTTAAATTCGCCGTTAAGTTGCAAATACTTCTGTTTGAGAACGCAATAATTGGGCATTTCGCAACCAGGGCAGTTTCAGGGCAGTTTTCGCCTTGTTGTTGGGAAATCCACTAGGCCTTCTAGGCTTGGTTCCTCCGCCCCGCCCCCAAATCACCTAGTCCCAGTCTTTTCATGTGAAAAAGCGCTGAATATTAAAAACATATAAATAAGACTAGAAGGCCTAGGTCTAGGCTGATACCTCTACACTTTTCAGCCGTAATACATAATGCGCGGATTGTACTCATATACATATCGTTCAGTTAATTTAGCTTCAAAAACTTATTTTGTTAAATGTAAAATGCGCAACATGTTGCGTACATTAATATCAAAGAAAAAAGATTGACTTTATTAGACTGAAATAAGCAAGATTTCCCGTTACAACATGATTTATACCGACGCGGCTTTGCATGTGCTCTGCCTCTGGCAACTATGACACCATTGCCGGTGTCCCAGGATTTTCGCCCCCCCTACATTTTCGCCCCCGGGGGGCGAAATTCCTAGGAATATCGCCCCCCCCCCAGGGTGGCGAAAATCCTAGGAATTTCGCCCCCCTTTAGGAAATTCGCCCCCCTTTAGAAACTTCACCTTTTCCGTTTAGGATTTTCGTCCTCCGTTCAACATTTCGCCCTTCCTAACAGTTGCATGGGATAATTATTACATGGCTTAATCATTTGAAATCAGTATCAATTCAAAATTGTTAAGACAGAGCTTGAAATAACAACCGATCACCGATCAATGATCGGCAAGGAATTGCTTATGATCGGCGGAAAAGCAGGGTTTCGGTTTCCAACCTGAAAAAAGCAGGGAAAGTCACGACTGCCGATCACCATGATCGGGAACTTTGGGAAAGTTATTTCAAGCCCTGTAAGAATACAAATTTACAATTACATTTATCGAAAGGGCTTACACAGTTACAGTAGATCAATAGGACTTATGACGCTTCACAGGACACCATGCATATTTTGCATTTTCAGTGTTAATCCTTAAACTCATTGTTAAAAAGTAATCACCGTGGTGGTTATTGTAATTATTTGGTATTGTTTTGCATCCACGTTTTGTCGTTAGGGACTGGTCATAAAGTAACTGCTAGGGTGGGCTGGAGGTAAATCACAAATTTTGCCAATAAGTTTGGTGACCCATCTTAGGATGTAGATAAAAATTTCAAAGCCCATCCAATCTTACCAAATTTATTTCATGACCCACCCACCCAATCTAAATTGGGAAAGTACACTTTTATTATGAAAAATACTTGTAGGTATGAACATATATATTCAATACAGTGCCGGTGTATATCTTTATTTTTGTATCTGCGAAGCAGATTACTATTAACGTTACCCATAGGCCATAGCCATTCAGCGACGAGTTTATATAATTAAGCCAATCAGCGATTAGCTTACATCAATTGTTTATATCGTGCTCGCACCTAACCTGCGAACGGGTGTAGTTTGGCCTGGTGTAACGGTGTAAGTCATGTACTCGTGTTATTCTTTGCCATATTTTGGCTTCAAAAATATGTTGATTTTATCTTGAATTGGCTGACCTTAATTCTACTTGTGATATTATTCCAAAGTTATCTATCAACATGGAAACTTATCCTTATCTGGTAAGTAGCCAAATACCACATATTTTATTATATACATTTATACAGTATAAAAACAATCATTGTGTATAAAAATTCTTAAACAGTCAAAACTCTGGCTGCAGGCATTATATTGCCAATTAACCATATCACAAGAAATAATGTTCTCAGGAGATATTGAATTAAATCCTGGTCCTGTATTTCTGTAACTCTGTTCAAAAATACAGTCCAACTAAGTTGTCATCAAATGTAGTGTTAGAGCAAAGGTAAAGATGTCATCAGTTAAATTATACTTATACATTTTGGTTTCAATCAATCATATATTTATTTCCCATGTGTACAATATATTATAAGTAACAAAACTATGTGTAGTTTGAAGGTGATGGGCTAGAGACCTACTGGAAACCTTTACAGGCTTTTTAATGTAGGCCACTAGTTAGGTTTGTACAAAATTGTGACAACCATTTTCAAATGCTAATAAATGAATCCCCACCCTCCCTCCTCATTACATTGTCATTTTGCTTTCTAATATAAATGTTTTTGTTTAGAGATTAATACAAGATCGAATGATGAATACTGGATATTGGCTGGATAATTTTGTCAGAACAACCCACTTGCAAGACAATCTTACCTAAATTCATCAGTATGGAAAATAAGTTATTGCTACAATAATCATATATTATATGGATGGATCAGATCAATGGCAGACAATGTACAAAACTAAACTTGTGATACCTTCTACTCAAACAGATATTCTCCCACAACACAAATTGTTTTTGTGTGGATATGCCGAGTTAAACCAAACAGTGTGGTATATCATTAACTGTGCACAGGGTTGGAATTGAATATATGCTTCATGCACAAATGACCTTCAAAACATTCTCTACTATTCAGTGCATGGTCTTCAATATATATGATTGACTCTTTGCTACAGTAATGCATGTTCCTCGAATAGTGTGCATGTTACTCAACAGTTAACATTGGCAAGTGTAAACAACAAGTGACAGAACTTTTGCTTCATATGATCACAATAAAGTTTTGAAAATTTTATGTCAGTATGGATTGACAAGTGACAGTTTACTAAATGGCCGGCTGTATAGACACTTTGAATATTGTTTGCATGAAATTTTTATTTCCTGACTGCATAATTATCCGCTACAAGCATATAATCACATTATAAAATTAGTTAAATTTTAGGGTGTGGGGGGGGGGGTAGTTGCCCCTGCTGCCCTATGTGCAGTGTACAGCCTGTTAGATTTGTATTATATGTTTGATTTTAAAACCTTATTTGCTATTATATTTATCATAATAAGTGATGAAAGCAGGGAAGCTTGTAAAGGTTAGGGGGGCGACTCCCACAAGGTGCCACCATGGTTGGCGCTGAGGCCCCCTGGCTTCCTACGCTCCTGGATGAATGTAGACATGGGTTTCTGTTTGGTGGCCCATCCGTAGACATACAAAATATTTGGTGGCCCATCGAAACTGCCCAAAGATTTTCCATGGCCCATCCCAAATCACTCCGGCCCACCCTAGCAGTTACTTTATGACCGGTCCCTAATATCGGAAAATTATGGCTTATAAATTGTCACTATTTTTACTTGCATTATTTCAATATAGTTTGTAAATCTCAGAAGCGAAGGGTAGAACTTGCCAGCAGGCAATACTCCAATAATATACTTTCAAAAAAGACAACACAGCTTTTAGTTTTAGTTACATTCTCAAATGTTTAAGGCACTAATAAAATCAAAGTATCATGAAATTATTTAAATAAACCACGCCACATACTGTATATATAATGCAATTTTCTTAGTTAATACGCTTCCCAATACATTCCATAGATTTTTGTTGCATGCCATATATGGCATGCAACTTTCATATAGCTCTAAATTTCGTGTCGTGTGCGGTGAGCGTACCGGTCACCAACCTCGTACCCAGGGCTAGTCGCGAATTGAAGGCGGCGACATAGCCCTGGTAAACGCTGGTCACGTGACTCCAACATTACGTAATTGTTACTTTTTTCAACCGGGGGGTGAATAGGTGAAATTCAAAGACAAACAGTTTTTATCTCCGAAATTCTTCAATCTTCTTTGTGAATTTTGCACTTGAAGGCTGAAGCTTCTCTCAAAGTACGGCGATCGATCAAATGGATCAATACTTTCTGTAGAAAAAACTCAGTGAGATTTGTTCGTATGAAACGTTTAAAAGACACGGATATGTCGCCAAAGACGCTCGATCATTGCACAGGTTTATGGAATAGTACTTTGTTCAGTTTGTTGCGAATTGCGAAGCAAATGAATGCAAATTCAACTCTTGTATAATGACTAAAAGTTGGTTTGTAGAGGGACAACATATACAAAAGATATGAATACATTAGCTTCAAACTAGGGACAAGTTCATGGACAAATGACAATGGACATCCCTAATATATGGACATTGATATTTCACCAATATGTAAATATGACTATTAAATATATAAAAGGATTGCTGTTGTATTACTTGTATATGTATATGTACAAGTGTTGTGCTGTGGTATCTATGGACTAGAATTTCTGAGGGGGTTGAAAAAGCCGTTTCTGAGGGGTTGTGTGCATCGGCATCCTTTGATCTTTGCACTTTTTCTGAGGGATAAGGCAAAAATTTTTTTGGGGGGGGGTGTCAGCACTTTGATCTTTTTTTCTTAGGGGTTCAAATTTTATTGAACTCGTCCATAGGGGGGTGTATACATTAAATGGAATGGCCCAATGCATCCAGATGTGCCCTACTTTGTTAGTTTACTCTGTCTAACACCAGACAATTTTACTTGTCAGGGGACAGTGCATGGCGCCACTCAATGGGTTAACATAGTCGATGAACATGCCAAATGATCCTTGACCGTGGTAGTACATTTTTGCACTTGCTGGATGATATCCCAACCAAGCATTGTTTCAGAGGAAGAGCACTGAGATCATGCTGTGTAGCAATTGGAATCTTGCATAGAGCCTGCTCTCACATAAAGCAGGCAAGACCTTCACTCAGAAGCCAGTCCTGATTAATATTAATTCCCCACATAAACACTTGGAAACCAGACTGTCCCATCTGCCATATGCAGGACAAAAAAACATGCAGCCTGGACTTTAACTGTTAAACAACCAAATCAGCATGATAAACAGTGTGATGATTTTTGCTTAGCCCAAACCAAAGCCAGTTTTCTAGAATTAATTTGCAGAATCCTAAGAATTGGACCTCCAACTTGAAGAGCTAGCTGTGCTAACAAAATTGCATGGGCAACCCTGAATTGACACGACTAGAGCAAATCTTCAAAAAATAATAGAGAGATCAGATTTGACTTCCACTGCTGCTATTGCTACCATTAACTAACCAGATAAATTTCATTTATCCAATCAAACAATCGGATCGATGCAACTGCCAAATCAAGTAGTGGTAGTGGAAGTCAAATTTGAACCTTTCTATATGAATTTCAGAGAGATCAGTCATTATTTGCTGATATATTATTATAACTTGTTTAATCAAAAGCTGCTATATATTCATTTATGATATTAAAAATTGATATAATTTTATCTATAAAGTGAGAAAAATATTCATAACATAAAATGATTCATGCATGCTGGTGATTGAATAAACCATGAAGTGTGCATTCTGAATCTCTACAAGTTCCTTGACATTTTTTTTCCAGTAGAGTGTAAAACTATATATGTAAATGTGACACAGGTTGCAGGTATTAGGTTGCATGTCCACCAGTGTGCTGAAATACCATCCAGTGACCCGGTATTGTTCATTGTTACTTGCATCTTGCTTAATTCAACTGTTTTTGCCCCATTTCTTGTACCCATAAAGTTCTTTTCAATAATCTAGAAAAGTTCAAAATCATTCAGTAAATTTAATTTTAAAATTGGGTGAAAGGTAAGGGGTCAATAATAGATGAAGAAATCATTTCTTATTGTTCATACATATGGCCCCCATCTCTGTCAGGTATTAGAGTAGAAATTTATTGAAGCCTGAAGTCAGAAAATAAATATGGCAACAAGGTTACACGCCATACTGCAGAGTTAGGCAATTTTTTTAAAGATCTCAAGGGCACAAAAGGTATAAATATAGATTGTAGGGGCAAGGGAACAAAATAATGAAATTTTGAGATTCGGGGACAGGTTTTAATTACAATGGGGTGCTAAAACTCAGTTTTCCCTAAAAAATCCCTGACCAGCTGGAGTGCTGAAACTGATGTTTGACTATTGAAATATCCTAGCAGGTTAGGTTCATCAGATTTTAGCTTTGTCAACCTGGCCACTCTGTTTATATCATTTCAGGTCATTACTGTAAATGTAAATGCAAAGTATTTGAAGTTAATACTGCTGTAAAATGTAGTTTAATAATACTGTATTAAAGTGTAAACACGTTTCTCACAGCGATAAATCAATATTGTAAATAATCATGTGAGAGTAGAACTTTACTGAGAGTCCGAGTATAGTATTATAGGCCATAGTCTGGCCATGTGTTTCTCAAAATTCAGCTAACTATATTAACATACTGTATAAAATATATTACAGTAAATAGCCTTCGAAGTATATATTTCATAGAGCTAGACAGTGTAACAAATAATGGGAATCTGCTAAATAATTTGTAACAATGAAATACTTCTAAACATTTTCAAATTCCTATATACTGTACCTTTTCATACTTGATGGAAATCATCACAAATAGATTGGCTCCATTTTCACAGCTTCGAAATTCGAAACATCGCCTCCTCGGCGATTTACATGATGCGATATAAAAGAAGATTGATGTACATTCGACGTATATATAACGTAAAATATTAAGAAGAAAGATTACAACAAAAAATAAAAGAATATAAATAATCCGCGGCAATTCAAGTTCCATTCGTGAACTTTTCGTCGCCCCCCTGTCTTTATTTCCACAAAGCCCGCTCGCAGGCTAATACTCCAAGAATCTTGGAGTATTTGCCTGACACGTGACCAGCGTTTACCAGGGCCATAGATATAGGAGACCTAGATTGCTGACTCTAATGTTTTCTATAACGCACGAGCGTGGCACTCATGAGCATTCAAAATGGCGGCTCAACCGGGCAAAAATCATAGAGCGAGATAGGGAAAAACCATGTTTTTCGCATTTTACGCCTGCCTACTGTTTCCGATCCCGTTGAACCACCTTTTTTGGGGAAGAACTAACTGGTGTGAAGGTTTTGGATGAATATTTGTACAATTTAAGTTGAATAAAGACGAAATAATCGATCGCTAAATGTTTTCTGAAAATCATCACATGGTCGGTTGAGCAGAAAACAAAGGTTTTGGTTCTTTGGGTGCTTTTTTTCTCGAGGATCTCGGTTGGAATATAAAACAGGGAATAATATTGTGAAGTTAAAACCTATTTTGCTTGATTTACCTCGTCTGCTGGTGCGAAAAGTACTGTGATCAGTCTGATGCTCCGTTTAGTGTTTATACTTTGATGACCTTGCTGCTGCAGATGTCAAAGGATCTTCAAGTTTATATGGCGTGGAATGTGAAAAGTGATGAATCAATCAGGTTTTTAGAGAGAAGTAATGACATGGAAACTCGTTTCAAAAACCTTCACAGTGTCTAGTTCTCTCCAAGAAACCTGATTGATTCATCACTTTTCACATATAGATGTGTCAATCATTGCCAAAAAGAATAAGTTTATTCAGCTTTGGCCTCCGGGATGAATTTCCTTCACGGACAACTCGATCAGAGTAAACCTTCCCGAAACGATGCACAAATATGTTGATGTACAAATCAACTATCTTCTTGATGATGATGGTGATATGGTTGTCACGAAATTGTTCGTCGAGGAGATGGCTTTCACGTGAGTGCTGCTGTAAGTTTTGGAAACAACTTGCTTTCACGTCTTGCAGCACGTTAGACTTCAGGCTGGATATTGCCGTTTTCGTCACAGAAGTCCAATCACCAACTAGTTGACGCAGATTCCTGTCAGTAGCCTTAACCACTTTGACGACTGATGGCGATGGTGTTATCAACTTTCCATAGCTTTTGATGGTGATTAAGCTTTGTGATTCTGGCTTGGAATTTGAACTATAGCTGTGATCATCAGGTACCAGTACCTCAGCCTGGCTTTTGTCAATTGCTACCAAAGCAATTGCACATTCTGGACACTTAATACAGACTGTAATCTTTTTTACAATGTACCCAGCAATATAAGCCAGGACATCATCTCTCCATATTGTTGAACAGGTCAAAGACATGATGATGTTATGGTCAACATGGTGCATCTCTTCATCCATTTTCTCTTCTTCAATGACAGCACAGTTCGCTTTTTCAGAAGCTGCGATTTGGTTCTTTTGAAGTAGTGCACGGAGGGCCCACTTGAACTGAAGTGCATTCGGATTGTTATTCCAGCCAAAACGACCTCTGATTTTGCTGAAAAACATTTCGATTTGGTCTTGAGAAAAGCGATAGGTAAGTACATACTTAAAGTTATTGTGTTCTCTACTCAGCAGATTTTTTGCTATTGCTAGAATTGAGTTTGCAGATACAGCAAACCCAAGGATGAAAGTCTTTCGTGGTCCATCAACAAGTTTTGTTCCATCAACATCCTTCAGTTTTTTCAAGTACGAAATGATGTCAAGTCGATGGGCTCTTAACTCAGCATAATTCTCTAGCGTTAAAGGACTCTTAAATCTCTTGCCAAACTTACTCTTTGTGTTAAGAATGTCAAAGATATCATTAATGTTTTGAATAAATTCAGCAGTTTGCTCACACTTTTCAAACTGTTTTACGTTTAGGTTGCGGAGATAAATCATGCCAGCTGCTACAGAACTGCTTAATGTTTGGGCTGCAACTGCCACCTTCATCTTTTGATTGTGCCATTTAATGTGCACATTTTTCAACTTGTTTCCAAGGTGCAAGATATCAGATTGTTGGACATTGAATAGCTCCTTAATATAATACCAGCTGATTGTTTCTCCACCCGAGGTGTAAAAGATCTCCTTGTCTCCTAATGCATTGCGAGCAAGTTTTAACATATGGCATATGTCCAAAATGACATACAGAGTTTTGCCTGGTCGGGTAGGATGTTGGAAGGATCCATCAAAGCTGTCTATCTTACATCCAAGACGTCTAGCTGTGGCTAAATTCTTTGAGCAGCCATCAAAAGTCACAGCATGCACATCAAGCCCTGCATCGGTGAGTAGGTTAATAGACTCTTTTATGATCTGTGCTTGCATTTTAGAGTCCATGTGGTTAACTAAAAAGTAAGCAATAGGATAACTCCATGGTTTTTGTAGGCCTACTGCCATAACAACCAGTGCATTATGAGCAATTGTATCCTGGTCTTCTGCTAAGATTGGCCTATAGTCGGTATTGCCAGCAAATTTCTGCTTTTTAGCATCCCACAGAACTTCTTTTTTTATTGACATTTCGTCAACCAATATGATGCAATCTTTGTTATCATCCTCCAGAGTGTTCTGAAGATGTTCGATAACGTTACTCAAAAACCCAGGTTCACATTCAATTGATGAAGCCCATGACCGTATGGTAGATGGATGTGGTAAGTGGAGGGATTTGCGAACAAACTTGTATGCCTTTGCACTGTAAAAGTGCAAAGATATAGCGAATTGTTTTATTTGTTCACTGTATCTAGACCCAGTTGAGTTACCTTCATTTTTCTGCTCATTTGTGAATATATCTTTAGTCATATGACCAAAATTTGACATGAGATGCTGGCTTTGTTCTTCTGACAGAGCCTTAATTTCTTCTAATTTTTTTACAAGACCCTTAATTGTTTTTTCTTTGCGTAGATTTTTTGCACTGAGTGATTTTATTTTATTATTCTTTTTTTTCAGGGTTTTCTTTAACTTTTTCATAACTGTTGTAGGTGACTTAATGTAACTACCATGATCACTATTTACAGAACTCTTTCTTTTCTTTTTGGCAGGTATTTGGTCTTCTGGTGGTGGTGGTGGCGATGCTTCTCTCTTTTTAGGAAGGGGTCTGGATGTAGTTGTCTTAACGAGGTGCGGAGGATAATCAAAAATGGATGGGACGGCATTTCGTTTCAGATATTTTTTGGATTGTTTTTGTATTACTTGCTCCCCCTTATTGATATAGTCGTCAATTGTAAAGTGTTTCTCACACAGGACTGAATATTTTGTCGGCATCCAGTCTGCCCATTTTATGGCTGTTATCCAACTTTTTAGCAGGCTGGGATTGGTTATAGGAAATCTAAATAGTGTGAAGGGAAAAATGTATTTTTGGTTCACTGATGTGAACAAAACTCAAACGTTTTTGACCTTGAACAGGACAAGACCTTTAATGAAAGTTGTTGTCAACATGCACATATATAGACTACTAACACAGACATCAAAACAAAAGTTTTTTTTGGTCTAATATTCTTTTATTAAAACTGTAAACAGTTTTATATTGTAGCTAACAAACTCAAAACTACATTTGTTGTCATTACAGTATTTACAAAATAAATTGTTTTTATGCTATTAAAAGCAGTCTTATTTTAATAGTCTTAATAAACTATTATGTTTATATGAAGTACGTTATAGTGTACAAATATACGATATGTGTGTTTTATAGACTTACTTATGGAAGGACAAGCGAATACCATCTTTTAAATCCCCACGTCTGGCCTTGCAGTTATACGCTGAACACGTATCGGGCATTCTTTTCGATAAAAAAAAAACACTTTTTTTAGAATAGAATGGCAAAATGCCTTAGAATTTTCAGATGAAAATACTGTTTTTGGTCGAAATAAGAATAAAATAACAAAACAAACAGCACTAGCTTTTGGAATAGGTCGAATAGTTAGATATATATCACGTTCGCTTGAGAAAAAAACTCGTAAAAGACTGAAGGAATACACAGGAAAAAACCGAAGACGAAAAGTGCGCAAAACTGCAGGCCTGCCCAATCTTGCCCGCTTGAATTGTAATTTGTAAATTGTATTGATTGTAACAAATATTCATCCAAAACCTTCACACCAGTTAGTTCTTGCCGAAATAAAGTGATAGAACGGGATCGGAAGCTGTAGGACGACGCAAAATGCAAAAAACATGGTTTTTCCCTATGCTGTTCTATGATTTTTGCCCTGTTGAGCCGCCATCTTGGATTTTATCAGGATTGGGAATATCAGGACTTCCCAGAGATGGAAAAAAATATCAGAACCTGGGAGTTCCCAGAAAGTATTTGGGATCTACAGTTTTGCAGAAATTTTCACACACATTTTTTTTTATGTTTGATAACAAATTCTCAATTCAATTGAATATCTAAATAATGTTTTTGACTTTCATAGACATGCATGGACAGATGTTACATAATGTGTTGTGCCCCGCAGTAACGGCATATTGCAGCTTAGCCATGACTGATATCTCAAATTTGGGCTTCCAGTGACAAACATGCAGAGTTTGGGAACTACCCAATAAATATAAGCAACAAAATCTTACGTTTTGTTCAAGCTATCCTTTAAGTTAACAAACACCTTGGTGATGAATATGGATAACCAATCAATGTTCCAAAAATGTTCCTCTTCACAAGTATCTAGGAATCAATAAACAATTGAAAGTTAAATACAAAGTACTAAGTACTACGTATACTTGAATGTGCCAGTGTAAGTAGCAACGATAACAAGACAAGTCAAAATTTGACATTTTGAGAAACGTCAAAGTTCTGCTTGTAATTTTCTGCTATTATTTTGTTTTTTTTGTATCTCACAAACTCTTGTGCTACCAGGTGGCTACTAGTGCATGCTATGGCTCAATCCCTGCAAACAGATTGTTTTTGTTTTCAGATAGGAAACAATAAATTTGCTTACTAGATAGTTATACCATCTACTACGACATATAAAACAACTAAACAAATGGCAAATTCTTGCCTTAGTATAAATTACAAGATTATAGGATGGTAATGAATACCAATTTCACTCACAGTCCACCTTTCCCCTTAGGAATGAACATTCATAGATCATGAGCCCCAGCAGGTTATACTGTGCAGTGCATTGAAATGCTACATTCTATACTGGCATGAAGCTTGCTCTCAGTACAAATGAGCTCCAATAAGGTGCGTATTACATCACTATATATGTCACTACATGTAGACTGTTGCAGTACAGTATTTGAAAAGAAATGAAAACAGATACCGGAAAAAAACCCTGATAATACCAATAAAAGCGATATTTTTTCGCGATTGAATCAATGTGGTTGAATATTTTTTCGCGATTGAATACATGGAATAAAATTTTGTTGAATAACTTGAATAGGTCGGTTACCACAGTCAGGGTTTGGATATGGGTCAGGGTCAGGGTTAGGGAAGGGTTTGGATATGGCTCAGGATTAGGGAAGGATTTGGATATGGCTCAGGATTAGGGAAGGATTTGGATATGGGTCAGGGTTAGGTCACAGTTTGGATATGTGTCAGGGATAGGATATATGGGTCAGGCACTAAATAATTTGAAACTTATGTTTCTACTACAAGAATGTTTATATACTGTTTGTACCATTAGGCCACTACAAGTTAATCTTTAGTTTCTGGTCCGCCGCCCGCATCCTTTCTCCATAAAGTATTATTTCAGGACTATTTTGTTATTTACAATTAATTTCTAGTTCTTGAAAATTCTCGCGAAGGACTTAACTTATAGAACGATAAATATTCAATTTACACAGTCACTAAAAAGACCTAGAAAAATGTAGTATTGAATGGTACAAACGCTGCCTTATCGAGATTACGAGGTAAAAAGACTAGAAATATTAATAGATCATTTTGATATCTAAAATCCTTTGTAATCTGACATACATGTCGATTTATAAATAACATAAATGCAATTTATATAGAATTTCATAACATTTTGATACAATTAGCATGAAAAGGGACAAGAAAGACAACAAAAATGTGGGCAAAGCCACAATTGCAATTATGTCCTATAATCCTAACCACCTACCCGCGTCGTAAACGAAGGTAAGGCCGGACCAGAAACTAAAGATTAACTTGTAGTGGCCTTTAATACAAGTTTACAACAACATTGAAGCTTTGAATTTATCCTGGTATTCTATAATTACTCCAAATGCATTAATTTTATGAAAAATATTTGGATTTCGTAGGATTTTCTTGAAAAGACGAGGACAGAAATTCAGCTGGTGGACAATCAACTGCAGCAAGAAAAGTTCTGACTTGCGGGACTTATGTTGCAGTGCCGTGGCAAGCCTTTGGGGAGCTCATATTCATATATTCGTGTTCTGCGTTATTAATTTCTTTTGAAATCGATTGTTTTTATGGTCTGTGAACACGAAGATCTGAATATGAGTCCATTGCTACGGCACTGTGTTGAATGGCACTGAATGTGCGACAGCAAGTGAGCAAGCTATTTAATAAAATGACAAGTTCGATCACAGTGCATCACACTACATGACCATGATGACCTACCTGTGTATAGAATAGGGAACTTTTTGTATTAAGCACGCTTCATATCTTCTTAGATTATAGTGGGTCGATCTCAATGTCAAGCCATAATACTCCATGTAGGGTAGAATGTGTGCCTGATAATCACAGAATAGAGATCGATTCTGTCAATTGCTGTGCTAAAAATTTTTCTTCCTTCTTGTTCGACGAGCACATGTGACATCACAGAAGGCCCAGGCTCGATTTACCCGCGCCCGCCTGTGCCTTCGCGGGCAAATCGAGCCTGGGCCAGTGAACTGTAAATAACCAGTTATTTACAGTTATGGTTATTTACAGTTAATATGGTTATTTACAGTTCACTGGCCTGGGCCTCCTGTGGTGACATGGATAAAGTATGATCTGTGGTATGATGTAATTGTTCTCACGCGCATGCGTGAATATATTTTCAGTGACCCACCCCACTGAGCTATACTATATTACTGGAGGAAGTGCTCGGCAAAAAAAGTGTCCGCAAAAACATGGCGGATTTTCGCGCCATATGACGCCATTTCCATGACAACTGGTTCCTCCGGCTCATGAAATTACCGCTGACCAGGCTCAATTCTGAGCTCGCTACAATTTTCACACACCCCTGGTTTTATCAAAAAAATTTTTGCTTTTCGAGGTTTTTGCAGTAAAATCTCGTTGTTTTTTTATATTTTTTCGACTTTTGACCATTTGTTAAAAGATTTAAAAGTCGTACACGCTATTCTCACCCGCGAAAGACAACAAACCAGTATGAAAAGCCCGAGAAATTTAGGCAAAGGCGGTCGTCAGAGCTCATAGGTAAATATTTCACATAATATTGATATGTTTTTATTTTTAATTTTTAAAAGATAATGGGAGTAAATGATAGAATACACTCCATTAGATAACAGGCTCTTTGTATAGTATAACGTATTATTTTCCCCCATGTGTTCAAAGTCTTGTCGTAAAAAAATACAGAAACTTTGTTTTTATATTCAAATTAAGTTTTTTTGTTGTTTTTTTCTTACTTTACAAGCTTTGTTAAATATTTGTTGGCTGGCCATGGTTTTTGTTAAACAAATTTTGTTTTATTTAATTCAGTTAAATCAGTTTTTCCTCAAATCCTTTGGGTTTTCTATATAGACTGATGACTGAAATCTGACATGCTTGATTTTATGCAATTGTATGTGCTAAATGAGTGTATGTACAGGTGTAAAAGCATGAAACAATGTGCTTCTATCTATATTCTTTGTGTTTATATATACTAGAGTCTGTGGTTATTATAGTATGCATAATCTAGGGTGCCAGTAACAAGGGCAAATAATGTTAGCCAATCAGCGCGTTTGTTTACATTTTGCGTTCTTGACCAATCAGAATGCCTGAAATTCGAAACATGTAAACAAAAGGAGTGAGAAAATAACACCTTGTTCTACGCCCTCGGTGACATTCGATATTAAACTTTTTTCGCCAAAACTGACAAATTCTGATAAAGCATGCTTTCTTCTTTAATTTCCTCGGGGGGATTTTTAAAATTCGATCTAGAACGCGAAATATTTATGTTTGAATAACAGTGTTTCGACGCGCGTAAAATAGCAGACTCTCACTTGCACTATCTTTACACACACATAAAAAATTGGTAGATTTGGCAGTTTAAACTTATTTTCCCCACACCACAGCTGACATGTTTTTAAATATTACCTATCTGATCTCATCGATCTCATTTCGCATCGGAAATGCGTCACAACGATCCAGGACTGACAGGTACAATATCGCATGACTCATTACTGTACATTAAAAGTACCCGGTTGGCGAAATGGTGATTGTCTGACCACAGTTAATAGCTGACAGACCTTCGCGAAGGGCTTAATATTTTTGCTAATAAACTGTTCACGAGGGTTTCGTTCTGTTCGTCTTCTGGTTCGTCGTCAATCGTCATCGGCTGCCTCACTTCTTGGTCGCTTTCGTCCTCTTCAAAGCAAGTCGCCGGAGCAAACAGCGTTAGTATTTGCTGTCTTTCCAAGAGCTTCAACGTTGCTTTACAAACTGGGCTATCGCTGATGTTGGGCAGGATGCATTTGATGTGGAACGAAGGTCCACAACCACGGAAAACGTTCCAAGTGGATTAACCTTTTTGCAGGCAGGCAAATCGCAAATCGATGGAAATTTTAAAGGAAGATTTATATTTTATATTTACAGATCTTGATACATTTATAGTCAGTACGTCCTTGGAAATTGTTCCAAAATATGAGTGTGTACCAAAGTTAAAATATTACTCATAATCTCTAGAACATGTTTGAATGTTTTGAATCACTGCAGTTTAGAATTAGCAGTCCTTTAACTCTTTTAAAGACAACAGAACTGGCAGCCATGGCACCCCATAACTATTTAGTGTACAATACTAGTCAATGTAATTAATTACTACCTCCCCCAACCCAGAAGTAGGCAGTTTTTACTTCTCAGCACTGTCACGATCTGTAAATATCTGTGTGTAAATATCTGGTTTTGTCTCGGTGACCCTGCTTTGCCCCACACTTTGGGATTTGAGCAGGCAGGGATTTATATTGTCTGGTATTGGTACATAGTTTACCATAATCACAGGATATTATTGAAAGATTTTCCTACCAATTCACTGCCTTAAAAGCATTATATTATTTGCTCTGTGTGTGTGTGTTACTTTAAGTGTACTCTGGTTCCAGAGGCTCTTTGCGAGGCGAAAGAAACAAGATGCGAGAACGGAGAGCCTCTGGTCACATCAGGGCCGTATCACCAGGGGGCAGTAAGGCTTATATGTTGAAAAAAGTTCCAAATATCCAAAGAATAATTAATAATGACATTCTAAAAATTGTAAATATAGTTTTCTTTAGGAGGGCAGTTTCCCCCTCCTGCCGCCCCCTCCCCTGTGCTGTGTACAGCCCAGGGTCACTGTCCATTGCGAATCCCACTTCCACACTTGATTAGGTTCAGCATTTGAATTTCGCAAGTGATTGCCCATTTGTAAAAATATGCCAAACTGGCTTGGGAAATAAACATTGCTGTAAGCTAATTATAGCCTGTATTAAAATATTCTATTAAACTCAACCAAGAATGTATTACATGTCCTGCAAAACTGATTAATGTTGATATGTTTATCTCCTGAGAAATTTAATACCTTTTCACCTGCGGGAGTATTAATATTCATGCTTGGTTGAGTTTACTATAATAGCTTGGGGCTTTTTAATTGGGGCTTCAGTGGCCAAGTGGTTAGTGCACTTGCCTGTCACCTCTGAGGCCGCAGGTTCAAGTCAGTGAGAACTTTCTCAATGCGACTCAAACCCAGTCCTCATGTGAAAAGAATAAACCGCAACGCTCTGCCGAACGTCACAGGTTTTCCCCGGGTACTCCAGTTTCCTCCCACATGGAAAGTTGACAGGGTGGGTTGGGTAAAAAGGGCTCACAGTAATTGGCATATGCTGTTGTGGTGACCCGGCCCTATTTGGCATGCTAAATAGATAGATAGCTATAATTAGCTCACAGTAGTGTTTATTTCCCAAACAGGTTTGACATATTTTTACAAATGGCCAATCACATGCGAGATTCAAATTCTGAACCTATTCAAGTGTGGAAGTGGGATTTGCAATTGATATGATCAGAGGCTTTCCATTCTCACCTCTTGTTTCTTTTACCTTGCAAAGAACCAGGGTACACTTAAAAGTAACACACAGGCAGACCAAGTGCTGCAATTCAACTAAGGGCCTGTTTATATGCAGGAAGCCGGGCTGGCCTGCTTAGCGAGACAGGCAGGTGGGATGAATTTCTCTTGTGTTTATATGAGAAAATTTCATCCCGCTTGCTGGTTTTGACAGTTGTTAAAAATAGCTTGCGGCGGTATCTTTCATCCCAGCAACTGGGCTAGCCCGCTTGTGAGTGTTTATATGGAGAAATTTCCACCCCGGTAAGCGAGATCTCACCTCTTTTCAAGTGAGATCTCACCTCTTTTCAAGTGAGATCTCGGCAACCTGGCCAGCCCACTTGTCCATATAAACGCACAATAATTTTTACTATAAAAATAACTACACAGCGAGATCTCGCTTACCGGGCTGTCTCACTTAGCGGGCCAGCCCGGCTTCCATATAAACAGGACCTAAGTACCAGTCAATATAAGTCCCTGCTTGCTTGAATCTAGGAAGTGTGGGGTTCATGGGGCAAAGCAGGGCCACTGAGACAAAGCCAGACATTTATACAATCCAGCAATTTTGATTATGCAGTGCTGGGAAATAAAAACTGCCTACTTCTGGGTTGGGGGAGGTGGTAATTTACATTGTCTGGTATTGTACACTGAATAGTTATGGGGTGCCATGGCTGCCAGTTCTGTTGTCTTTAAAACGACTGCTAATTCTAAACTGCAGTGATTCAAAACATTGTCCAAACATGTTCTGGAGATTATGAGTAATATTTTAACTTTGGCACACACTCATATTTTGGAACAATCACCAAGGACGCTGACTATAAATGTATCAAGATCTGTAAATATAAAATATAAATCTTACCTGCGATTTGCCTGCCTGCGAAAAGGTTAATCCACTTGGAACGTTTTCCGTGGTTGTGGACCTGCGTTCCACATCGAATGCATCCTGCCCAACATCAGCGATTGCCCAGTTTGTGAAGCAACAACGTTGGCAAATGTTGAAGCTCTTGGAAGGTCTTCGAAAGACAGCAAATATTAACGCTGATTGCCCCGGCGACTTGCTTTGAAGAGGACGAAAGCGACCAAGAAAGTGAGGCAGCCGATGACGATTGACGACGAACCAGAAGACGAACAGAACGAAACCCTCGTGAACAGTTTATTAGCAAAAATATTAAGCCCTTCGCGAAGGTCTTGCAGACAATCGCCATTTTGCCAACCGGATATGTACTTTTAATGTACAGTAATGAGTCATGCGATATTGTACCTGTCAGTCCTGGATCGTTGTGACGCATTTCCGATGCGAAATGAGATCGATGAGATCAGATAGGTAATATTTAAAAACATGTCAGCTGTGGTGTGGGGAAAATAAGTTTAAACTGCCAAATCTACCAATTTTTTATGTGTGTGTAAAGATAGTGCAAGTGAGAGTCTGCTATTTTACGCGCGTCGAAACACTGTTATTCAAACATAAATATTTCGCGTTCTAGATCGAATTTAAAAAATCCCCCCGAGGAAATTAAAGAAGAAAGCATGCTTTATCAGAATTTGTCAGTTTTGGCGAAAAAAGTTTAATATCGAATGTCACCGAGGGCGCAGAACAAGGTGTTATTTTCTCACTCCTTTTGTTTACATGTTTCGAATTTCAGGCATTCTGATTGGTCAAGAACGCAAAATGTAAACAAACGCGCTGATTGGCTAACATTATTTGCCCTTGTTGGTGCCAGTAGAAGCTAGCCTAGGGGTGCCACCGTGCCAGATTAGCTCAGGATACTGTGGGCAACTTATCTGGTAATATGATTTCTACCTAGATTTCTGACTAATGAGATGTTGAATTGAGGATTCTTGAGCCACTAGAAATAGGATTGTACTTCCTGAATGTTGGGTACCAATCACAAGTATAGGTATAAGCAAAGTATCTAGATTATAGGCTTTATAGGGTTGCACTGGATCTCATTATACAGGCCAGAACTGAGAAAGTCACCCATGCTAGTCAGACATCAAGTCAGAAACAATTTAATTGGTAGATAATGTCACTTCCAGTCCATGCAGGTGGATTTTTTTGGGGTTTTGTTCATTTCAGTCCTCTCTCTGTGCACCCCTGTATCAGATGCAACCACCTGAAACTAAGAAATCAATGAACTTCAACATTTCAAGTGAAAGACCTTTAGTATTATTTTTCAGGTAGTTGCATGATACATTCAAGCCTTTAAATAGTGTGGTGGCTTAAGCTGCTTTTCTCATTCCCTTTCTTCGCTTTCTTACTCTTTTGTCTCTTAGTGAAAACTTTATTTTACAACATTTTAATTATATAATCTCTTTTTGGTCTAATTGCAGAATTATTTGATGGTGAGACAGTTCATAGTTCAACCTCTTTATTAAAGAATTATCAATTATTAGAAATAATTAATTTTGTTAGCAGTGATAAAGCTATCCAGACAAGTTATTATTGTGACTTTGTAGCCAGATGGGTATGATTTTGCTTTGGCTGTTCAGCATTTTGATCCATTGTGATATGGCTTGTGGTACATGTGAATGATTTTACCTGCAAAATGAATGACAGAATATCAGAATGTAACATTACATTAAGATACATCCTTACACTGCAATTATATAATTATGTAGTAGATGCTTGTTCAGTGTGAAGAATATGGTCTTTGACACTCTTTGTATATAATAAACATGCTATTGTGTAATGGAAATGATCAAATAAAGTTATTTCTGCAACAGCCCTTGCATTCAAACACCTTATTTGTATTTTTCTTGTTCATGCTTGAGCATCAGCCTCAGGATAAGCAAATTCCATTGGATTTGTGAGGGCACTTGAACTATATATTGGGTCATTACATGAATAACAGAAAAGATTCAGACTCCCACAGCCTGTACTACAAGTTACAGCTGTGACAGTGTAGAGGGGGGATCCACAAGTAAAATGTGCTGGAATATCCAAGGGGGGGGGGGGGTGATACAAATAAAAAAATGATGTTTAATATGACTTAAAATTATTAAGCAATTGAGTGCACCAGCACTTTCCCCTTGACAAGTAAAATTATCTGGTATTGGACTGAGTAAGATAACAAAGTAGGGCATAGTGTTCCTTAATTAATCACTTATAATAAAGGTTTAAATGCTGATTTTTTTGAAAGTGCCAGAGTGGCAACTGGCAGGGTACTGAAAAGGTAGGTTGTGCACATGCATCCTAAATAAATACTGCTACAAAAACCTGGTATTTAACAGTTAAAATCAATCACGAATTTCATTATTTTAAAGTAATATAAAATAAAACAAGTCGGGAAAAGGATTTTCAACCGAAGATATGAGACAAAATTTAATTTACAGTATGAGAATGAGTTTGAATATAAAGAACAACAAAAAAGAGGATACAAAACTGCTGTGATATTGTTGAAATTAGCAATATTATACATTTGCTGTTTATAACAGTAGTTTTTGACATAATGTATTTATGCTTTTCCATCGAAATTGCAAGTTAAATTTGCCCGAAGCAGCCCAAGTTTTGGCAAGCTAGAACTTAAAAAAAGTAAAAGAAATAACTCTTTTGTGAATCTTACGTACCTGAAAACAAGAAATATAATAGTCCTTTCGAGTGAATTGTTTCATCTACAAGCAGATTAAAAACTTAAAACTAACACACTTTTTTCTCGACTGCAAAAATATCAAAATGTTCAGTCGAAACTCGAAAATTATGATCAAAATTTTTGCAAAAACCAGGGGGGTGAAGGATTTTATTTCAAGCGTAGGATCGCGGTTCGTCAGTGGTAATTGGAGACTTTAAGATTGCGCATCGCCGGCGGCAACGGCAACGCTGAAACCGGGAATTGCCTGGGGAGAGAACGCCGTCGTGTTGTAAACATCCGCCATGTTAAGATGTTCGATATCGCCACGCACAACGGCAACCGAAAACTGTTATAATTTCACCACTTTTCTGTGAAATATGTGAATGGCATCCTTCAAATCCGTTCGTGATTTGCTGCTTATTGGTTTTGACGAAGGTTTATTGGACGAAGAAGAGTTTTTGCTGTTGTACCAACAATATACTTCTCTGAATGCTGAGTATCCGTACACAAGCTATCCAGCCTTTGACCTAGAGTTAAAGGACGAAGTTGAATGCAAAACTGAATTTAGAGTGGAAAAGAATGATATACCAGGACTTGCGGATACGCTAAGGATTCCAGAAATTGTAAAATGTTACCAAGGGACTATTTGTGGACGAGAAGAAGCCTTGTGCATTCTGCTCAAGAGGTTTGCCTATTTTTGCAGGTATTCTGACCTGATTCCTACCTTTGGTAGACCAGTTCCTGAATTAGCTATGATTAATAATAAAATGATCAGTTTAATTTTTGATATCCATGGCCATCGTCTGACAGAGTGGAATCATCAGATTTTACACCCAGAAGCTCTTGAGACATATGCTACAGCCGTATCGAACAAAGGAGCAGCCCTTACCAACTGCTTTGGTTTCGTAGATGGGACGGTCAGACAAATTTGTAGACCTGGAAAAAACCAAAGAGTCGTATATAATGGTCATAAACGAGTCCACGCCCTAAAGTTCCAATCTGTGGCCTTGCCCAATGGAATTATTGCTAATTTATATGGACCAGTTGGTAAGTTTCTAGTAAACCAAGGCATAAAATTTATTTTTTTCCAGCAGGTACTATGTCAGTGTCTATATTAAAGCTGGTACTTGACAATTTTATCAAAGTATTTGAAACAGGGCCGTTGTAAACTAACGATAATCTGTGAAGTTTGAGAGGGAAATAATGACCTAATAATCAACCCTAACTAATCAGCCCCCCCCCCCCGCAATACAAAGTTGCAACCTACGGTAGTGATTTATATATCAAATGGTGTCCCTATCACCTGTAAATAACATTTACATAATGTAACATTTGTGCAATATTCTCAATAGAGGGGAAGATGCATGATGCACGGATGCTTGGCGAGTCTGGCCTGTACAACAACATGAGGCAATTTGCATTCTCCAGACAAGGCGAACCAATGTGCATTTATGGTGACCCGGCCTACCCACTTCGGATGCACCTTCAAGCACCCTTTCGTCGAGAAGGCATTACCGAGGAAATGCAAGATTTCAACCGTTCCATGAGTCAAGTACGGGTGTCAGTGGAATGGCTATTCGGTGATATTGTAAATTATTTCAAATTTTTAGACTTTAAAAAGAATTTGAAAATTAGACTCAGCCAAGTCGGCAAAATGTATATAGTTGGGGCTTTGTTAAGGAATGCCTTAACATGTCTATACAAAAACACTACATCCATGTATTTTGAATTAGACCCACCTGCTCTAAATGAGTATTTTGCATGATTTTATATCCCATGTGTTATTATAGTCTTGTTGTTTCAGTGGCAGAAACTAAGAGGGCAATAATTTCTTGAAGCCCGAATAATTGCTTTAGCAGTGTAAATTTGCATCCCCATTTGTGTCTGCCACTGGAAAATAATAAGTGGTGTATATTACTCACATTATGGCTCACATTTGAATTTTGCATGATGTAAACAATTTATCCCCGAGCCGGCGGCGCGAAGCGCCGTGCGAGGGTACTAATTCCCCCCGGCTATTTACACCCGGGGAAACGAAAGCATTAGCGGAGTCTAAAGTTCATCAAATATCGCGGGCGTCGGTCACCAACGATGGGTGGTCATCCTCACTGATCTCAAAAATATGGCGGACTGTCATGAATAACGGACACTGATTGGTCCAATTTAAAGTTTGCATTATAACGGCTGTATGACGACAGCGAAATAGCAAACATTTCTTGATTTGATGAGTTGATGATTGATAAATTTCTTGCAAATATTCTTCATTTTTGCTCGTATTTCTGCAAGATTTTGTAAATTTCAAGAAGAAAGGGCGAAAGAATCAGCTAAAAGAAGGGAGCCGACGTTAACGAAGGTAAGTTTGTTTTAAATATTGATTTTATAATGGCTTTAAAACCCGACGGCCTTTGCGTATATGAAACAACTAAACAAGACAGCATATAATTTCAGTGTATCTTTAATACTGATTCCCTTTTTTATTATATTGAATTTTTTGAATAAAAAATAAAGCAAAGTTGATTTGCAAGCGAGAATTTGAAATCATTTTATTGCAAACTCAAAGTTTATCGATAAAGCCATTTAATAGTTAAAGGCAGTTTAGTTTTATAAAGAACACTTTAAAACGTTTTGTGAATTGTTTGTGGTTGAATTTTACCTTAAATTGAAGCTTGTATTACGTATAATTACATACCTAACATAAATATGTTGGGAAATTGATAATTTTGTAATTAAAAGTGATATTTTTAGGCGATTTTCATTTGTAAGAATATTCTTAAAAAATTATCGTGTTACCATGACAACTACTTTAGATACTTCATGTTCGGAAAATACAACGGTTTTGTCAGCAAGGCGAGGGTTTCTGCATGCATGTATTTTCTAGTACTATATATAATGACTACTTTTTGAGGTATGTAAAGATATATTAAACACGTTACATTGTTACTTTTATGAAATGATGCATTGTTTCACAAAGACAAAGTGGATAAAAATATCAACAACTCAACATGCAAGGCCTTGTCTGCCCAACAACATGGGGGACAACTGCCGCACCTACCCCCTCCCCCCCCCTCCCCATCTTGTATGTCTATGATGTTCAAGCAATAAACACAGTGCACATAACAGGCACTATACCTGCATATAGTCACATAAAAAGATCAAATATGAATCTAGAAAGTTTTTTTGGCAAATTGTTTTCTAATGTTCAGTTCTTGTTAGTTAGTTTACTAAAAAATTCTAGCATTGCCCGTTGCTGTTCCTGCTGGTTTTGCATGAGCATCATTTGCAAGTTTGCAGTTTATTGCATGTGTTGTTGAAACTGCTGCTGCTGCTGTTTCTGCTGTTGGATGTTCTGGTCCTGCATTGCATGTAGCATCTCCATTTGTTGGTTGCTGGCATCCTTCTGCATCGCCACGTTTGCAGTGTGTTTCTTCTCCTCCAATTCTAACATTGTGTATTTGACTTCCATTTCCTCTTTTCGCACCTTTTGCTCACTCTCGAATTTTTCCTTCAAATAATCCACCATCTCTCCTCCACTTCTTCGTTTCCTTTTCGTTTTTTTCTCCTTTTCATCGCCATTTCGTTTTTGAGTTTCTGCGAATGTTTCCATTGCAGTCCGTCTCACATCATCTGCTCTTGCTTGTTCCTGGTCAGTTTTTTCTTGATTCATTCGGCTTGCTTCTTCTTGCTCTTCTTCACCAATCTGCTCAGCTACATAAATCTCCTCAAGTAGGATATCAAGCTCTGTTTTCTCTGGAGAGATACCACTTGCCTCCTCTTCCTGTCTCATTTTCTTTTGGTACTTTTTCTGCAAGACTGCCAAGTGCTCTCGAACTGATCTTTGTGTCACAATAAACTTAGGGCTCACCAAAGAATTCATGTTGTCAGCAATCTGTGTCCATAGGCTACCTCGTTCGACTGATCCCTTCTTGCTTTGGAATGGATTTACCAACAGGATATCTCGACAATAAATTATGTTATGTTCCATTGTCCACTCCATCTGATAACAACAAAAAACTATCAATTTATATTGGTTTTAAAAAGTAATGTCACAGATAGGAAAGGCTTTATATCAACCAAATATTTAATGGGTCTTTAGCCAAATTTTAAAAGATGATAAAATGTAATTTTTATGTGCACTGGTCAGTGAAAGATACATGAAAAAATAGAATGTTAAAAATATAAGTTTATAATTTTAAGTTTTTTATTAGATTTGCAGCCCCCATGTTTCTAGAACATAACACAATCATTTGTAGATTTATATAAATACATACAACAAAACTATTTTGAATTTAAATTAGCAAAATTTGCATATTTGCTGAGGCATTTTATTTATATTCAAAACAAATTATGCAAATATCAATATGGCGACAAACTATTAATTTAATAACAAGTTTAACAAGTACTCTTTCAAAATGTTACCGTCATTCTGCAATCTAAAATAACGCAAATGTGCACAGATACCTTTTATAATCTTAACGAACGTAAATTTTCATAAATACCTTTTATATAACTTTAATCTTTAGTGATGATGTTCTCACGTCGCAGTCACAACGCCAAAACACTGGTTCTCACGTCGTCGACACGACGAGAAACGTCATTAAATTGCAAAGTCAGCAAAATTAAGTTCAGTTAACACTTCCGGTCAGCGTTGCCGTCGCACATTTCGTGCAATCTTAAAGTCCCTATTGCCATGAGCCGGAGGAACCAATTGGCGACAGCAAACCACTGAACTATATAACATGGAAGGCTGACTCGAGCTCAAAAGGTGAAGCCAAACATGGCGGAAATTGACCACTTGCGTAATAGCGATGCCCGCTAAGCATGACGGTAGGAGGCTGTAGGTTGCTTTCGAACGAAATGGCTGTCGCATGAGCGAGCGATTTCGTTCGGGAGGAAACAACGACGGATTTTTTACTCTATTCGGCTTCGATCAATAGCAATTTTGTGTGGAAAATAACGAGGGTGTTTGGCAGTGCTCATGTAGAAAATTTAAAGAAATTCGGCTCATTAGTGGCGAAGAAAATTTGTTGTGAAGACGACCAGTTGTACACACGCCTCCCCTAAATTCGCTCGCGAAAACTTGACCACATCAACCAAAACAGGTGAGTTAGCTTTTCTACTGGCGATCGGCTAAATTTTTTTGAAAAATAAGCCCAATCGATAGTTAATCTCATTAGATTTCAAGGTTATTTTAATCCTATAGCTTCAAAAATGCCATTTTTAGCTTCATGAAAATGACAAATGTTAGCCAAAATTTTGTTCGAATTTGCCATTGCCAGCCATAGCCTGACAAAATGTTTTGAAGATGTTTTGGCGCGAAAGTATCTGAATTTAAATGAGTTGTTTCTAGCTGTAACAAGAAAATATAAAGTTGAAAGTGTTTTTCATCGTTTTCTGCTGTTGTTTTGTCCTCGAGCTGAAGTTTGCTTTGGTTCTTATCCTTCATTCTAGTTCGATAAAATACTCGTGAGTTAAAACATAATATTTACATATAAATTATTAATTTAAATTAGCAAAGTCTTGTATTAATAAATTTTTAGCTAGCATATAAACATTAGATAGGATTATTTTAATTAAATTAATAGGAAGTCAATTTAAAATTAGGTAGATAATAACTATAGGATTAAACAACTCACATAGGGCTAAGGCTAAGCAAATAAAATATTTTAAATAATATAATGGAGGGTGAAACAAGCACTTCACATGAGGCAAACAATGCTGAAAGTACTGAGGTCACTAGAATATGGAAAAGATATTGTTGTATACCACAATGTCAGAGTAATACCAGAAAAAATCCAGAGTTATCATTTCATAAAATACAAAAAAATCCTGAAATATTAAAGAAAAAATGGGTACAATTGTTGAAAAGGAAAGGCGTAAGGGACCCTGGTCCTAGTCACAGAGTATGTTCAAAGCATTTTGTGGATGGCAAAAAATTCTACGACAACACTATTCCAACAGTCTTCACCACATGCACAACCAGTAAACCAAGAAAGACCCCAGCTGTAAGAATAACAGTTGTTCCGCCTGATCTTGAAACACCATCCATTGTGGAAATACCCGAGAATGATAATAACACTGAAGATAATAACACTGAAGATAATAACACTGAAGATAATAA